CGACGAGTAGTTCTTATGGCATCCATTCTCTGATTTTGGGTGTTTGATATTTGATTGGTGGTGGTTGTGATGTTGGCTGCGGCTGTGATGGATCTGTCGAGGTGATAGTGAATCTCTAGTGATGATTTGGTGGTGTTTTTTCTACTATTTGTTGATATGTTTGAGGTAGTGGTATTGATGTTGGGAGGTGGTGATGGTTCTAACAGTGATAGTGATGGTGGTATTGCTGGAAGTTGTGATGAGATGTGGTCACAAATTATTTTGTCAATCTGACCATTAAATTGGTCTATATGTGCCCAATAAATAATATGTGATCAATGAAAAAATAAATTGCGATAAAAAAATAATGTGTAACGTAAAAAAAATTTAATTTGTGCGATAATTTGATGATCTGTGACTATTTAATAAGTTGTAACTTATAATATTTGTAATTTGTGACTGATTAGTAAATTGTGACATATATTTTTTATTTGTGACTGATGGACAAATTGTGATCTATAAATTTTTTGAATTTTGACCGAAAAGTAATATATAACTATCTGATTTTTGAAATTTAAAACCTTTATTCCTAATTGAAATAGGTGGTAGTTAATCTCTTAATTGTGAATTTTTTTTTTCCCATTTTTAAATGATGTAATCTAAATTGGGCTTTGGGTTGGGTCTACTAAGCTATGGACTACCCTGTCAATTTTTGTACGCCGGACCCAATTTTTCAAAATGTTGCAAATAAAGTCTCAATAGATCGATTTCATCCATATTTCTGCTAGTTGATTACAAAATAGACTTTGACTACAAATTAATCAACTATAAAAGGGACGAAATAATAACTTTATAGTTTTTTTTTACATTAAAAAAAACAACAACAACAAAAATGAAAAAAATGAAAAAAAGAAAACAAAATAAAAAGGAATACAAAATCTTCTTCTCCCCCACCTTCACCCCCACACAAACCCCCAAAATAGGAAATCCGCCGTCACCACGACCTCTCCCACCCCAATTCCTAATCCATTTCTTCATTCACTGTATCAGCCATCATCATCAAAGAAGAAGAAACAATTGGGACACAGAAGGAACAACCCACCTTCAATTTCAAGGAATACATGATTGAAAAGACCAATAATGTGAACAAGGCATTAGATGAAGCAGTTTCGATAAAGAAGCCGCTAGAGATCCAACAAGCAATGCGCTATTCTTTGTTGGCAGGTGGCAAGAGGGATGTGCCTGATGTTACGTATCGCCGCCTATGAGCTGGGGCGAGGCCACAAGTCTGCTGCCATACCTACTGCTTGCATGGGGAAATGATCTATACTATGTCACTTATTCACGATGACACGATGATTTATCCTGTATGGATGACGATGATCTTCATCGTAAAAGCCAACTAACCATAAAGTATTTCGAGGAGGATGTGGCAGTTCTTGCCGACGATTCCTTATTAGATTTTGCCTTCAAATTTATCGTCGATGTTGTTAATAGGGTCCTACCAAATCGAATTCTGGTTGCTGTGGGAGAGTTGACCAAGGCCATTGGCACCAAAGGACTGGTAGCAGATGGCGGTGACGGTGACGGTGAATTTCAGATTTTGGGATAGGCGTAGGCGTTGGGGTGAAGGTGGGGGAGAAGAAGATTTTGTTTTCCTTTTTATTTTGTTTTCTTCTTTTTATTATTATTATTTTTTAATGTGAAAAATATAAAGTGACTATTTTGTCCCTTTATAATTGATTAAAATGTGGTTAAAGTCCATTTTTTCGATCAACTAACAGAAATATAGATGGAATTCGCCCATTCGGTCCTTATTGTAACATTTTGAAAGGTTTGGGGTGACGATCACCACAAATAAAAAGTTAAGAAAATTGCATATTTTGAGAGATTTGAAGCCTCAACTACAATTATCCCTTTTTTCTGTACCAATATTTATTTGCTCGTCCCAAAATTGAGTAAAAAAAGATTGTTTCACAAATAAATACCATATTAGATAATATGTTCCAAGTACTCCTCTTGAATGATTGCTTGTGTAAGTGGGTCCTTTATATTCATTAGCTATAAAATATTTAGGGACAGTAATTAGTTACATTTAAAAGTAGAGATGGATATGATAAGATTTTACATTTTTTGAACTCTCTTCAAATCAAATTATTTGGAAAACTTTCAAGCAACCAAACCAAATCATCTTCAAATGAAATTTGATTTTTTCCAAATCTTGATTATAGCAATATAAAAATAACATCTTTTAAACAAGTCACAATAATTCTATATTTGGATTACAATTTATAAATTCAGTCAAAATTAAATAATCATTTCAATAACACATTCACAATTAATATCTTTTAAACAAGTGAAAAATAAGTCTCTATTTGGAATTCAATTTATAAATGATTTATAAATTCAATCAAAATCAAACATTATTTGCAACACATTCACAAGTACTACTTATTATTATCCATACATTTCGTGTGCACCACTATTCCTCTTATTATTCATCTTTATAAATCATTTATAAATTATCAATTGAATGCTAAATGAGATATGCTACATGTACAGATTCATTTTGTTAGAATGATGCCAAATTCATACTTGGCAGGATTTCATTGGCAGTTGTATCAAGAATATTTTTCGACCATCCAATCATAAATTTTCAAGTATGAATCTGGCAAAATGAATTTGTACAATCAGCAATAAAATCTCAATATAAAACTTAAATTGAAACTTTCTAAATATAATATTGTATGTCAAGTTAAATTCAACTGTGGTACATATATTGTACTTCAGTGCAATCAGGTAATTATGCTTCAATTTTTTTTAATGGATCATCTATAATTAATATATGATTTAAACCAAGTACTATAATTTATTTGATTTCAACCGGATTACTATACTTAAGTTTAATTTCAATTAAGAAATCATTATCCGACTTTTTTGACAGAAGTCGATGATGTTACAGTCAATGAATAATGGTTATCACACGTAATTGTTAATTGCTATTTGCTATGAGAAGTTTGTGAAGTTTCAGTAAAATATGACAAACTCTATTCACTGATTACCAGTTCATCAATTTTTGTGAATTTGATTACTTGATTGACAACATAGTAAAGTATAAATTCTGTAAAATGTAATTTACTAGTTGTATATCTATTGTAAACATGTTTTATCTACTCGATACTTCTATGGCAAAGCATAAGGGTACGTAGGGTGCATCTCATGTTTCACCTTTTAGGTGTTAATTGAGAAATAATTGTCAATTCAAAACAACAGAGTAGTCCTTATCACTATATTGTTTGATATCACGAGACACTTATGCCCTAGCATGACATATACTACTCCACATGCTTGAGAAGTCATACTGGCGAGCCGTGGTTCACCTCAATCTTTATCTAAGTATTTTAATAGCTAGATTCGTGTTTGGTGAGGAACTTCCAAACACTTTTGATTTATATATGATAAGCAGAAAATCTAAGAAAAAAGATTTCTAAGACGATACACTACAAAAAAGGTTGCACGAGCAATTGGTTGAAGTGGTACGTGATTTGTTAAATAACAACTGTCCATAAACTTTCGAACTTTTAGAACGATTGTCCCCGTTTGGCCCCCATTCTCATTCTTTTTCTCTCTCTTATTTTCAATCACACAATCTTCTATAAAATAATATTACACACAAATCAAAAACTTTTCATTCTTTTTCAACCACACATTTTTCAAAAAAAATACTATTCTATCGATTAAAATTAGTTAAGAATGGGGCCAAACATATACAACTCAATTTCTTTCCAAACATATACAACTCAATTTCTTTTACTTCATTTATTTAATCATGCAATACGTAGAATTGGGTACATTAATATAATTACTCTTTTTGATGTTTGTATGACATAAAATTACTAATGTGTCATTAATTGAACTACTAGACTTGACAGGAAACTGTGTACATAAATTGGATCATTTTGGTATTCCTTGTAACAACATATTCACTTCTCATTTAATGATTGAAATTTGATTAATTTACAAAGGTTCTTCCTATATACATTAATTCATACATCTCATGTTACAATTATAATGCATTTATAAACCCGCCTAATCAATTCAACTTTTCATACCCTAAAAAAAGCGAATGGATTATTTTTCAAAGATAACAAAATAAAAGAACCTAAATTTTTTGTTCAATTCAACATGATTCATAATAAAATCATATTCATTTGGAATATGACCAGCTGTAATCAGTTACAAAACCACTTATCGAGATAACTAATGAGTCAGCTTTCCACTCACTTTATGTAAGATTCTTATACTTTTTGAAAATAAAAATCTGAACAATACTCGAGTTTTTCATGTCACAACAAGCCAAATTAATGCTTCTGCCTTTGACTCAAAAGCTATTTACCTCTCGCCAACCCCCAACCACTGAAGCAAGACAAAATTTGTTGCAATTTTAGGTGAGTTTAAGATGAGGTCGAACTCACTTTTTTTGTTTGTAGGGGGAGTTATAACAAAGATACAAATCTCTCTAACACGTATATTTTCAATAGTCAAACATTTGTTTTCGAATGTTATTTGTATTGACTTAATTAGAAGCTTATAAAAATGAATGTTGAATAGAGTGAACTCCTCTCTCGTCCAACCCCGGTATGTTATTCACGTTATGAGTCATTAAAAGTTCCCTATCATCTCTTGAACTGGCCTCGATTAGAATAAAGGGAATTGTGAAAGTTTTGTCAGTATGATGAACAGATAAGAATAAGCAAAAAAATGTGTCATCTATCCTCGTGCGTAACGCACCAACAGCTAGTCTTGGTTACTTCCCAACCCACACGGGCCCCACAATCAGAAAACAAAAATAATTAACCCTTTCCGGTCAGAGGGACTGAGTGAGTGAAAGCAGTTCCAGATATTGCATCTGAAGACAGTTCAGACTCGATGCAAGTTCAGAATAAGCTCCACAATAGAAGAACCTGTGTCATCAAGTTGCTTATTTGCTTTTCTGATGATTAATATTGTAGATATCCCTCTTAAAAAGCCATCTAGTTCACTGAAAATAACTGAAATTACTCCAAGTAACAAAACAAATATATTACATTCACTAGTCGAATTGAAAATACAAGATGCGGAAGGAAGAAATTACATTAACTTCAAGACGACTACATTAACAATAAAAGGCGAACGACGGGAAGGAAACACGGGAAGGAAACACAGAAACACGGCACGGCCAGTCTATCACACCAAAGCCAGTTAAGAGGAAGAGGAATTTTTTGGAACGAACTTGCGCATCCAAACATGTTTCCCATAGATGGAAAACTTGACCTTCTCCGTTCCATCGAGAATTTCATCGATGAACGAGGCTTTGCGGAAAACGACTCGAGCATAGAGTGGTTGCTCATAAGGCCCCACCTCCTGCATGCGGAAGGACTCTATGCAATTCCCAAACACCGTAGTGAAGAAGTGCCGAACTTCTGTTTCAGCCACAGGGTAACCCCTTGAAAATGTTACAAACATTGTTCTGTCCTCGGGTGGTACCTCATTTATGAATCGATTATTTCCCCTGAATGCATTCCTTCCAATTCTCATGCTAGAGAAGTTACGGATCATGGACTCGTCGACATGAGGTGACATCCTCATTTGGTTCGATTCCAATCTTCGTCTACCACTGAATGGTATCTCATTAGGATTTGATAAAGAACGTCGAGAAGCATTGGACAAAGTCATCATCTGGTTTGATGGCATCAGAAAAGGATTTGATAAAGATCTTCGAGCAGCATTTTCTTGAATCATCATCCGATTTCTCAATGAACTTTCTTCAGTATTAGCATTGGCTGGAATCCTCATCTGATTATGTCTGGAACTTCCCCCACCATTGTGTGGTCCAATGGGATTTGGTAAAGAACGTCGAGAAGCATTGGATGGAACCATCATGTGGTTTGAATCATTTGATAGTGAACTTTGTCCACCATTAAACCGCATCAAAGTAGGATTAGAGGAAGAACTCTGAGCAGCACTTAATGGATTCAATATCAGGCTTCTTGAAGAACTTTCTCCAGAATTACCATTAATCGCTTTTCCTATGATGTCTCTCATTGCGTGGATGCAGTCTTCATCGATAATCCTGCTAACTTCACACAAAGCAGTCACACGATTCTCATTGAAAAATCGAAGGGATACTCTTTGTCGATAATGCTACGAGTCATAGGAATATCGGTGGCTTCTGCTGAATATATGAAGCTTGAATCCTTTATACACTTGAGGCACGTAATAGCCTCTTCAGCAGTTTGATTGATGAACAACGGAGCAGATGCCAAGATCTTCCTTGTGACTTTGCCGAAACCCACCTGCTCTAACCAAAGCCATAAGGCAATAATCTGCAACGATTCCACAGGATCACGCCAAAGTTCAGTCGCAAGGATGGCATAAAGAGCCCTGTCAATTGAATGGTAAGCATGAAGTGCCTCCAGTCCGACTATAGTTGGTTTAGCATCCATGAGAAGATCCAAACTTGAGACTCGAAAAAATCCTGAAAACAGAATTTACCCAGGGATTAAATCAAGAAAAATTATATAAGAAAAAAATTAACAGAACTCTGAAAAAGGGAACTAAGAGAAAGGACTCGTGACAGTCAAGCCAGTAATGGTGTAAGAACAGCTTAAACAAGCCTGCTACAGAGGAAAACTCTTAACAATTTCAGAAATATACCAATAAAGCAAGGCGATGAGGGTGATTTGGGTGAAATGAAAAAGAGCCCAGTGCAATGTTTCTCTATCAATCTTCAGTCATTACAAATCTAAAGATTTCAGGCTAATAAATTGCAAATTCATAACATTGAAAGTAACACAAATCAGTAAAATAGCAAAACTAGCATAAGGAAGCCAACCTACTCAGGTATCAGAAAGGTAGCTACAAGCAATGAATTGGAGAATACTCTAGTAACTTATAGAAATCTAAACCTAATGCCACGTGTCACCAATTTTTCACAGCCCGAAACCACAAACCAAGCCTGGTTTTCACCTCCCAATACCACAAACCAACCTGTTTAATAAATTATAGAAAAATAATTAAATGTAAATTCTGGAACGAAGTGTTTTTTATCATTGAATCTCCACCTATGGCCAACCCAACCTACCCACGCCAGTTTATAGACAGTTCAATGCTTAGCCTATGGATTAGGCGAATCATGAAGTGCTCATCTATCTGCTATAAACCACAAGCAATAATTATGATGGGTTCAAACCATTTTAAATATAAATCGTCCTTGGCTGGTTAAAAAAAAAAAAAAAATGTTTTGCTCAGATTATATGAAGACTTGGATACATTTATATATTGCCATTTCAGTCTAGGGAAAGTGAGACATGTACATTAAGAAAGAAAGACATTATCTGTTTACCTAAATAGCCAATATGCAAAAGATGGAATGACCAGGTAAGTATAGTATACCAATAAGTTGTAATTTAATCCATTTACTGATTCATTTTTTAACTAGTTTCTATAGCTAGATGCACACGTAGATTTGTTCAGTACCTAGCTCGTGATCACCTAATCCTGATTGGTTCAACATTTTATACACAAGCTTCTATTTTTTCTCACGATAGTTTAGTGTATATTTTTAAAATAATTCACAAGCTGCATTAGATATTCTGGTAGATCTAACTACGAAGAACACAATGATGAATGTGATTATGTAGTTCACCTCAAATGTATTGAGAATAAGGCATGGACTGTTTTATTTTCAAATAATTCACACATTCGGAACCAAAGATGAAATACAAGTACAATCCTATCTGTTTGTCCAAATAAGATTCTAGGCATTAGATGGCTCAACTTTGTTTTTCAGTTCAATAACTTTGATCAAGAACAAAAACATAACTTGGCCCAACGTTGTTATTCAGTTCAATAATTTGCTCAAAAACAGTACCCTCAATACAACAATCCATCGGTTATTTCGTTAATACTGTTCATAAACATGATGGCAGCATTATCCAACCAAAAAATGTTTATTTGTCGTAACCTGGGAAATTGTGTAAGAAAATGATTGTGATAAATTAACTCTGGTCTCTCTGTTAGGAATCTTTTAGAAAAGTCTAAAGAAGCCGGTATTTCTGCTAATCATAATGTTAGCTTGTCGTTACTAGGCTCAAAATCAGGTTTTTGTCATTACATTCTCTAATATCTGTGTGGAGAAGTCGGTAATTCTGTTAACTGCAGATGTTAGCTTGTCGTTTCTAAGCTCAAATAGGTTTCTCGTTATTTTCTCTAATATCTGCATGGAGTAAATGCTCTTATCAAAATTCCTCCTATACAAGGTTGAAGTCTATTTTCTGTCCACAAGATTTTACATTATATAGGACTGCAATAATACGGACCTACAAGTGTGTGTTATCCTTTTAATTTGGCATTTACCGTTATACCGTTCAGTATGATGCTTAGTAAATGATTTTAAAAGTTCAGCACCACTCCAACAAGTATCAAGAATTTATTCTGCACCATATGTTCATCACGGAAAGCAAGTGTTGAAGATGTCCATATGGAACAAATATAGAAATTCGAAGCAAACCCAAACTTCCTTTTACAAAATTAGCTGGTAAAGGCATCTGGATATTAAACTAAATTTCTCTACCGTGTATAATAGTGCAGTGCTAATCATAACAAAGCATTTATTGCATGATACTGCAAATAGGCTGCCAGCATAAAAATGCACGCTAATATATTAGCAACAGACTAAGATCATTAACAAAGAAATAAATAGATATAATCAGACTAAGATTTTGCTATTTGTGGCAACAAAATTTGATTGGATTCGATACCTTAAAGAAGCCGTGAACTGAAATGTAAGGGTTTTGTTACTCAGGCACTTTGCACCACGATGTCCTTTCGAGTCTTTTGCAATGGCAACTGAAGAACCATGTAGCCAACAAACTGGAAATATTTCGAACAACATGCACCAACACTCCCATGCACAAATAAAAAGTTTTAGACCTCAATTACGTAAGAGACCTAACTATATGGAAAAAAATCGAGAATATTAGATATGCAATACACAAGTGCACCAGCAGACATTGGCAACCAGTGCCAGAACCCTTCAGTGGCCACTAAGTTGCTCCCTGTCAGTCACTTTGAAGATCAGGAAAAGAAAAACAAAAACCAAACAAAGTCCCACAAACGAGCATAATAAGGAGGTTCCTAAGGAATTATATTTTTCTCATAAAAAAAAAAATTCCTTTATTTCCCAGATAAGGATAGTTGACTTAATTAGAAACTTTCAAGACCAAGAAACTATGGAAGAGAAGGAGGAAAAATCTTCAAATTTAGCTGGAATTTCAGATAGCTATATAGCAGCAGACCAAAATAGCAGAAAATGACAATAGTATACAGCAGCAATTACACTAAGTAAATGACCTGATGCTATATGTCAAGAAAATTACGACAAAGGGTAGAAGAATATAAGCACAAAGCAAGGCAGAAATTAAAATATGTTCACCTATCTGAATATGACACAGTTTTCTTTATTCGCCTTTCTTATAGATCCATAATCCTGTGATGCCGGGATCTGCAGCAGCTGCACCTTGCAGATCAGACAAAGAGAAAGACCGCCAGGGGTCAAACCTCTCACTGAGAGGTGGCGATGACAGCTCATTGACTTCAGCTTTTCTAGCGTGTGGTGGCAGAGAAGGAAGGCAGCCACCAGGTAATGACAAGTTTGAGATATAAGTTTAACTCCTATTGCTCTCAAGACAGCTCATTGTTGTCGCCCAAGTGAATGCACTCTAGAGTTGGCAGGTCTTTTTGGTATCCCGCCATTGTTACTTCTTAAAATACTATTACGATTCTTGTCCCAAAAGTTATTGTAGGCTAGCAAGTCCTTTCGTTTCAGGGTGTATGAATCATCAAGCTTACCAATGTCTTTAACGAACAAGCAAGATGAGGAATCTGACAGGCTGGTAAAAGATTTGGATTTGCCACAGTAGAAATTACATATGCCTTTCCTGAAATAAGCCAACAGACACACTATTGGATAATTAAAATATAATTATAGGAATACT